GTTGTATTGAAGAGTGTTGAACAGGGTTCGGTAAGCATGGGCCAGGCCCCAGCACATTGCAGTGATTTGTGTTTGCTTAGAATTGCCAGGGTGACAGCACACCTTTTCCAAATATTCTACCAGTTTTTCAGGATTCTGCACTTGTTCAGGAGTGAATTTCCAAAACATTGGAGGTGCCCATCGTTCTAGGCATTTACCCATACTACCCCAGATACCCCGCCACTCATAACTATCCAGCCCTGGGGCAGACATCTGGATGGTATTATTAAGTTGCTTACTAACTTTGGACAAAACTGAAAAAATATTCCAAATAGATATCAATAGATATATCTTAACTATCCAAGGATGTTCAAGATACTGAAAAGTTATTGTAATGAAGGAGGAAACATCATCAAAGAAGGCAGAGAAAGTGCCATTCTGTATTTCCTCCAGAACAAACTTTTCAGAATCCGATGTATAATTGCTAATTTTCCCCGCAAGGTGGTACCCAAAGTGCAGTACAGACTTCGACATGAAACCCAAATACCAGATAAGGCTCAAGGTCATTGTTTTAATAACAAGTTTCCCAAGCAAAACATGTTTAGTCACCGCAGAGCATAACAAACTGCAAAAACCAGCACCAACTTTCAACAAGTACAGCAAAGGAGGGAGCATGGTGCAGATTGGTAAACTTAAGATCAAGAACAAATGAATCAAATCGTGACCCACAACTGTTTAACAGATATAAATTCCTTAGTATTCTCTGGATAGTCTGTCGTTATCTCAAGCCCTTCGAGCCCCACGTTGGGTGCCAAAAAGGACTGCCGTGGTTTAACCCGGCTGGAAACTCCAGCCCGGGATGGGGGAGAGAATCGGGAAGAAAATAAAAGGTTAGAGCCGAGGGCTGAGATAAAGACAGTTTAATAAGAGAAAATAATAATAATAGTAATAATGAGAATGATAACAGAATATACAGAATATACAAAACGAATGATGCACAATGCAATTGCTCACCACCCACCGACTGATGCCCAGCCCGTCCTGAGCCGCGAGCAGTCCCCGAGCCGTGATCGCTCTGCCCGCGACTGACTGACTGACTGAACTAACCCCCCCCGAGCATGACGTTATGTGGTATGGAATAGCCCTTTGGTCAGTTTGGGTTAGCTGTGCTAGCTGTGCTGTACTCCCAGCTTGTTATGCACCTGGCTGAGCAGGAGAAGCTCAAAAAGTCCTTGAGTAGTCTGAGCACTACTTGGCAACAGCTGAAAACATCAGTGTGTTATCAACATTCTTCTGGTACTAAATCCAAAACACAGCACTATGCTAGCTACTATGAAGAAAATTAACTCTATCCCAGCCGAAACCAGGACACCTCTTATCCCAGATTCAGGTCAGTCTGTGCTGCTTTGCAGAGCTTTTCCTGCTGCTTGCTTTCCAGATAGGTACAATAAATCAAAGAGCTGTGGGGAACTTGGGCAGAAACACTGAAGAGGCAGCACCAAAATCATTAAACTAAAGACTTCATAAAAAATAAGCCTTGGAGGAGAGAACTGAGGTCAGCTAATAGCGTAATGATTTCTTGCCCTTCATGCTTCCCGCCTATTCCCTGCAGCAGACTCCAAGATCAAAACAAGCCTGTAGGCACACAGCAAATGTGTGACTTGCACTTAGGGGCTGCTCCACTGTATTCCTGTTTTAGGGGTGACTGTTTTTTAGGGTGACTACTTTGCACTGCTCACTTCTACTCAGCTGGTAATTATCCTGACACCATCTTCTTCTTTTTTTTTTTTTTTTTCTTATTTGCTTTTCTGCTTTGAAGGAAAGTTCCACTGAAAGGTCAGCTGCTCTGGGGGGAGGGAAGTTTGAGTAGCATGATGTACCTCTCCTTATTGGTTTGCTGTGAAGTGATTTTCTTTGAGTAACAGACTCCATTAAACACATTTATTGTGGTTATCTAGTATTCCATCCAGAGAGGCAAAATCAAGAAAGCTAATGGGTATCCTCAGAGCTGCTTGGTAAAACCAGGTCCTATATGCACATGTGAGACTTAATAGCATCTGTTTCATGGACAGATTGGGGCAAATACATTAACTGGTCAGCTGAATGGTTTCTTAAAATGCTTCCCTGGGTCAGTTTCTTAGTGCAACACAGCTGAGAAACAAGGCTGAGTGCACACATCCATCTCGCAGCTCAGGAGCTCTTCTGTGTTTTTCCCCTGCAGCTGTTGAAGAACTGGACGCCATTGTTTAAGAACTACATAAAACGGGCGTCAGATCACTTGAATGCCTTATTTGCCATTGAGGAATTCTTCCTGGAACATGACAGTCTCTGCACATCGATAGCTAAAGTGAGTATCTGCTCCCAACTCTGAGGACGTGTTTTTGCTAGATTCGTGGTGAAATCCATCCTGTTTGCGTCATCGGCTTGTCTACTTTAGAGGAGAGAATTTGGGGTCTCAGTGGAGAGAGTGCATAGAAAATCCATCTATCACAATTGCTTTAAAAAAAAAAAAGTTCTATGTCTGCCTGTGCCTCTAAGGGAGCACAGCTGAGGGTGAGTATTAATTACCAGCATGCAGCCTGAAGGGAGCTATTATTTTGCAGCTTCTAACCTAGATGCCCTTGTGTGATGCTGGAAGAGGCGAGGCCAGAGGCTTGCTTTAGGAAGAGCTTTACTTCATTTGTCTCTCTGTGGTCCCTGGGATCTAACTGCCAAATGGTTTATTCTACTTTAGAGTGCAAAACAAGCAAAGCTGGGAATGAGGGTGGGATTTCTTATTCTGGCTGAGCTAGTTATGAAACTGGGAATAAAGGGGAGCTGACATATTACCTATTTCCCTGCGTCTGAGAGTTTTCAGTATATCCCTCCTCACACTCCTTCACAAATATTTTGTCCCTCCGTCCTTTCTGCCCTATCACACTGAGAGCATTTGACTCACACTGAGAGCATTTGACTTGGAGTGCAAGTCTTTCCTTTAGCAGTGTCTCAGGAAGCTCCTGTGTCTTTTGGAAGAGCTCTCCTAGAGCCTGCTTAACTCTTGGTTCCTCAAGAAAGAGTAATCCTAACTTCTGCTACCAGTGCTTACGACCAAAAGCACTGAAGCCAAAAGCCTTCAGTTTGGTGAGCCGAAGTGTCCTTGAATTACGGCAATTGTTTGGCATGCATCCATTGTTCTAGGGGCCTGGGTTTCCCTGGAGGCTGGGAATTGAAGTGACACTTTATATTTGGAGTTGGCAGACAGCTTTGTCAGTGCTCTGCTGCAAGGAGACTGACTGCAGAGTGCCTGCTCTGCCTGAGCACAAAGGCACCCTGAGAAAGCGTGATTGCATCTTACCCTCACTGCACTGGGCAGGAGTTTGAGCTGATGAATGACCAATTGCTTTGACACCTGCCATAAGGCACTTTTAAGAGAGAACTGGCAGGAGGAGGGAGCCTGAGGCAGAGCTGGATTCATTCTCTTCTCTGCACATGTCACTGTTGTGCATATGTGGGCCTGTGTAAGGGTTGCATGTTAGATCGGCTTTGGGGATGGGTTTTGGGGTGCTTTAAAAAGAGAACTTAATTAACGTCTTGAACTGACATCCTCTGTGGCCCTTTGTGGCCCATAGCTCTCAATCACACCGTGCATCCACAGAGCTGAAGCTGATGGGGCTTGAGCTTTGACTCATTACATGTCATAGCATCTAACTGTCAGTAATACAGGGCTTGGTAGGAGAAGCACAGTTATTTTTAACAATAAAAGCAAAATTAAGCAGGCTAAGCAGCCTTCTGTTGAAGATGGAGTTGGGAGATGCAGATTATGGGCAAACTTTGGACATGAGCTAGCCCCAAAAGAGTTTATAGAGAGCCCTATTGCTCTTTTCTAATCGATGCAGGTGTTGATGACATTTTACCAGCTGGAAATTCTGGAAGAAGATGTAATTCTCAATTGGTTTTCTTTGCGGGACACGTCTGACAAGGGAAAGCAGCTTCGTAAAAACCAGCGGGTAAGTCCCAGATCCCAGAGGTGTTTAAAGGGGAGGAGGGAGAGAGACAACAGCTGCTAGAAGAAACTTTGAGTGGAGCTTGCTGTCACTGTCACCTTCTGTGGAGCAGCTGCCATTACATGGTAGGCCAGTAATGCATCCGTGCATTGAACACTAAGCAACCCAACTTTGTTCTCCAGAACAGACATTTCTCTGCATTCTGCCATAATCATCCTGTTTGGATGAGGAATGGAGGTTAGTAGGAGAGGGAGGTTGTTTTTAGTGGGCTCTCTGTAGCAGGAGGCCAGCACTTTCTGGAGTAGCAGCACAGCTTCTCTAAGCCAACACCCATTTGAAATGGGCTTTAGGCCAATGCCCTGTGTGCTGGCCCCATGCAGTTCCTTTGAAGCTTTCATTCCTGGCTCACCAGTCCCTTCGCATATATTTCTAAGCGTTTGCTGTACTGAGTGGTTTCATTTGGCTTGTGTTGCAAGGAGCATGTAAACCTCCCCCTCCATCAGGCAGAACTTTGTGCTGCAGTTTGGCTGAGCCCTGTTCCAGTCGTCCTCCCTGGATCTGGAAGGGGAGCAGGGCAAAAAAGCCATCTCTGAAGAACTCCAACTTTGTTTAAAACCTTTGCAAAGTCAGCTCTTAATATAGGTCAGCAGGGCTTTTCAGCTGCTTATTTGAGCCCAGTTAAAAGGTAAAATGAGCAATTTTATAGCAATTTCTCAGAGAGCAGGTTTTTCCCAGCAGAGTTTTCCTACCATGTCTTAGCTCAGGTGCAGCTGTCATCTCTCTTCCCTCAAGGTCTGAAAAATTTTTAAACTTTTGTCTTTTTGCTGGGTGTTGTGGGGATTGTCTGACTGGAGGTATCTCCCACAGGAATCTAATCAGTTTGGGTTTGTCCATGGCATCCCAGTTGTTTTTCATCTAAACTTTTGTGTGTCTCTCCTTCAGTCTGCCTCTCTCACAGTGTAATTGCTGAGCGTTCCCAGCATCTGTTTGGTGTTACTTGTTACCCAATTACATTTCATTCTCTCTGCAGCTCCAGAAGTTTATCCAGTGGCTGGAGGAGGCAGAGGAAGAGTCGTCTGACGGCGACCAAGACTGACATGGTAGCTCGGCGTGAGAAGAGGCACTCTCACTGCCTTTCCGGGCCAAGTGGGCAGGGCAAGATCAATGCCAGTGCATGGTGTGTAGATGTGGGGCCTGACATCGAAGTGACTGACAATCCCATCATTAATTAAGTTGTGTGTTCCCAACTTTGCCACTTCCATCCCTCCCTCACTTGCCCGGTGGCACCTTATGTTGGATGGTTGCAGCCCAGTGTAAAACCATAAGGAAAAAGCAGGAGGTAGTGAAACCTAGAATCCCTCTGGAGCCTAGATATGATGTACTATAAGCTATCTTTTGGGAGGTCCGTGTTACTAATACAAAGGGAGCAAACAGATGCAAATGCATACAGCGCCCTTATAAATCTAATGATCAGGGTTGTGGGAGAATGGTCATACAGCTGAGTTATTTGGAGTCATTGTTGCTTCTGGAACTA